GTTCAGAGGGGAGATTCTGGAGATGACTTTAAGAGAGACTTTATGGTCTTGACTGTTTCGTGCATGATGAGGGGATTTCAGAACCGCTACTGCAACAACAGAATCCTCAACTCCTTGATTAATGTTGATGAGATAAAGGAGTACAACTGGTGTGGCTACACCTACAACTCTCTGATCAAGTCCATCGAGCAGTACAGGAAGAAAAGTAATAGCTTCTTTACTGGACCAATGACATTCATATTGGTAAGCTCTAGCTCCACTTATGAATCTTATGATATTCAGATTGTAGATTATATGTGTGAGATTATGAATTTTCCTCTATGTGATTATGAATTTTTCTCTATGTGATTATGAACTTTCCTCTATGTCTCAGATTATGAATCTTCCTTTATCTGATTATGAATTTTCCTTTATGTGATTATGAGTTTTCCTATATGTGATTATGAATTTAGAGTATGTGCTTATGTATTTTATGCTATTCAGATTTTATGAGAATTATGTGTCAGATTATGAATTTTCCTTTGCCAGTTTATGAACTTTCATTTACCAGTTTATGAACTTTCCTTTACCAGTTTATGAATTTTCCTCTATGTGATTATGAATTTTCCTCTATGTCTCAGATTATGAATCTTCCTTTATCCGATTATGAATCTTCCTTTATGTGATTATGAATGTTCCTTTATGTAATTATGAATTTTCCTTGTTATCATTATGAATGTTCTTATAGTATTATGCAATAATGAATCTCATAATAGAAAGTTCATAATTGCATAACATAAAATCCATAATATGATAGTTGAATATAATGTTCATATGGATTATGAATTTTCTATTATGATATTATGAATTTTCTGTAGTGTAATTATGAATTCTGTGATTATAACTTTTTTATTTTACCTTTTTGTTCAACATTGTAGCTATTCTACTTTGATCGGGTCCAATTCAAAGGAATGAGCATTCAAAGAACATATCCAAGCATTACTGCATGGACAAGTAAACTTGCACGGCAAAGGGTTTCCGCTGAGAAAAGGTCGGGCGGATATGGTAAAGGGAAAGTTATCCCTCGTATTGCAAAGCCTACTGCTGATTGTATCGCTTCTACTTCCGCCCAACCAGTCCCAACCATCTCTGTGCCGCCGTCTAGTGTTGATAGGGTCACGCGGGTTCTACAACGCCTTGCTGCTGATGTCTTGGAATTCGGTGAGGCTATGGCTGAAGTTGGCAGACAAAACGCACCGGTGGATGTTATGAAGGCCGCATTTTCTGGAATTTCCACCATGATTGGCGTTGCAAGCACAATAGAAAGACCACCAACTCCAACCTCCTCTCAACTAGACGACATCTTCTTTGGCCAAGAGTCTTTCACAAAGGCTGTTGATGCCTTGGTTGAAGCCTTCCATAAGACCAATCGGCAAATGGAGATTGACCCTCCCTCATTTGATTTAGGGATCTCTTATACCCCGGCACCATTGGTTGATGAACCACGTGAGCAAAGTGCAATGGATGAAGATGAATTGGATGCCCTTGTTGAGAACATTGTGAAAGACACTCCCGGTGCTGCTGATGCTGCTACACTCTCCACTACTCCTACCGCTATCCCTGCTACAACCCCTGCTGATACGCTTGGTGCTACGGCTGTTTCTTCCCCTGCTGCTTTCCCTGCTCCTACGCATGTTCCTACCACTGCTGCTACCCCTACTGCTTCATCTTCTGAAGCATATGCTGCTACCCCTGCTACATCAAGTTCTGAAAGACGAGAAATAACTCCATTGATCAAGGTTCCATTCGCCAGAGATGTCCCTGATGCTGCTAATACTTCTACGCCTGCTGCTACACTACCTGCTACCCTCGACGATATTGATAGGTAAACTAATTAGAATATGAAATTGTGTTATGAACTTTCTGATATTATATTATGACTTTTCTTCTGAAATATTATTAATTTTCACATATGAGATTATGAGTTTTCTATTATGAGTATTAAATTACATTTTTGATATTATGAACTTTCTGATATGCAGTTATGTATTTTCTGTTCTGTATTTATGAATTTTATGTACTGCAGTTATGAACTTTCTAACCTGAAATTGTGCAACTATGATGATATTAACTATCTTCGTGTGTTTACAGTGCATTTCTGGACAGTGAATCTGATGTCGAGGATGTCACCAGGCGAAAGAGACCAGTCCGGAAATACAAAAACATCCCGTTAAACTTGAGATCACCTTTTTGGACAAAGAATGTGCCATTTGTCCATAATGCCAGTGTGACCGAGAGGGCCGTATCAAACTACGCCTTCATGGATGTTTCTACAGATCATCCAGTGGAGTATGTTTGACTCTAACCATTTAGAAAACTTTTTATTTTCATTTATATTTCACATTTACAACCATATATTAATTTATTTACCTATTTATCAAAATTTTTTGTTCATGTAGTGAAACTCTGTTTATCTTTGATGATTTCTCAATGACAAGAGGAGATTTCCACACCCTCCGAAGCGGTGAAATTTTTAACACATTCATAGATGTATGGGCGTTGAGGCTTACACTCCTCAACACAAAACGGGCGTTGGGGAAGCCAAAGTGCATCTATTTTAGCACGTTGGTACATGTAAGTTAATAACAACAATTTTTACTCTGCTCACTTCTGAATCTCCTGTTAAACCATTCTGTATTTTATGTCATGTAAATATGTATTTTATATTTGTGATTATGAATTTTCTATTGTGAGTTTATAAAGATACATTTTTGATATTATGAACTTTCTGATGTGAGATTATGTATTTTCTGTGTGAAATTATGAATTTTCCCATATGGCATTATGAATTTTCTATTTGTGAGTTATGAAATTACAACTTTGATATTATGAATTTTCAGTTCTGTGGTTATGTATTTTCTTTGTAATATTATGGATTTTAAGTATTTTCTGTGTGTGATTATGAATTTTCTCATATCATATTATGAATTTTCTATTGTGAGTTTATGAAGTTACATTTTTGATATTATGAACTTTCTAATGTGAGATTATGAATTTTCCCATATGGCATTATGAATTTTCTATTGTGAGTTATGAAATTACAACTTTGATATTATGAATTTTCTGTTTTGTTGTTATGTATTTTCTTTGTAATATTATGGATTTTATGTTATGATATCATGAATTACGTATGACTGCCATTACATATTGCACAACTTATCATTGATACGTATTTTTTTCCCCTTAGCTTCAACTCGACCCATCTGAACAGTGGATGAAGAATCTTCCGCTTCAAAAGCGGAAGGATAATTTCAATGAGCGATTACAGTATGAGATTTCAAAATTTGAAAATCTTGATGTCAATGATGCTGATTTGGTAATTTATAATTACCCACCTTCAACATTTATTCATTAATTACATATTTCTTCTCTATTCTAACTACTTCTTTTGATGTTAGCTATTTTTCCCCGTGCTTCGACACGATCACTACTTTGTTCTATGCATCAACACCATCTCAAAAAGTGTTGAAATCATTGACAACAAGATGTTGCCGAAGGGTGTTACTGAAGCTGACAAGTATGAAGATTGCCCAAATCTACTGGTAACTTAACCTTAAACTTGACCTTTCAAACGTTTGTTATACATTTCATGTGAATCATAATCACACTAGTTTCATTTTTGTCCAGATGAATGCTTTGAAAGAGTACTTGACTGCAGAAAAATCCCCCCTACTCCGTAAGATACAAAACCTTCCTGTATCATACTTGGCCATTCCTTGGAAGGAGCTTGACAATGTCATTGATTGTGGCATATATGTCATGCGACACATGGAGTCCTACAAGGGGAATGTTCAAGATTGGGACAGTGGATTCAAGATAGGCACCCATGTAAACGTAAGAGTATAAGATATATTAATTTCAACTTAGATTTGCTTTTTTTTTTTTTTTTTGTTTTGTTTTTTAACATCTTTTTTTTTTTTTTTTTTTTTTGAAGGCTGACTTCATTTGGGAGCTTAGAGCTAAATACGCATCAAACATTATCACATGGGGTAGGAACACTGAAAGATTGCGAGTTACGAAGGCAGCCAAGGATCTCTCAAAGAAGAAGTGAAACTATACCGCTTTTTGGTGTTTGAATATGTTGTGAACATGAAGCAAATCTTGACTGTTGATATTTTGTAATGTGCACAGATATTTTGCACCTATGAATACACAATCTATTGCTCTTAGTTCAGATTACATGTGGATCATGTAGAGTTTATGAATTTTCAACTACCATATTATGAATTTTCTATTATGCAATTATGAACTTTCTTTTATGAGATTATGAATGTATACGTGTTAGCTATAACTGAAATTCATTGTTACATAGATTAAAATAACATTCATAATGACAACAAGGAAAATTCATAATCACATAAAGTAACATCCATAATCAAATAACGGAAAATTCATAATCTGACACATAATTCTCATAAAATCTGAATAGCATAAAATACATAAGCACGTACTCTAAATTCATAATCACATATGGGAAAATTCATAATCACATAAAGGAAAATTCATAATCAGATAAAGGAAGATTCATAATCTGAGACATAGAGGAAACTTCATAATCACATAGAGGAAAATTCATAAACTGGTAAAGGAAAGTTCATAAACTGGTAAATGAAAGTTCATAAACTGGCAAAAGGAAAATTCATAATCTGACACATAATTCTCATAAAATCTGAATAGCATAAAATACATAAGCACATACTCTAAATTCATAATCACATATAGGAAAATTCATAATCACATAAAGGAAGATTCATAATCAGATAAAGGAAGATTCATAATCTGAGACATAGAGGAAAATTTATAATCACATAGAGGAAAATTCATAAACTGGTAAAGGAAAGTTCATAAACTGGTAAATGAAAGTTCATAAACTGGCAAAGGAAAATTCATAATCTGACACATAATTCTCAACCTATATCTAAAAATCATAAAATTCATAAGTACATACTGTTAACATGATCTCAGTCTATAGCTACATCGTGGTCTACATTCTTATTAAAATGAACAAATTGTGAACCCCCGGTGCTTGGATGTACAAGATATCCATCACGAGCAATCTCTGAAATATTTTCCAAGACCAATGATTGGACAGAGCCCTTTGTAATTGAAGCAAGCTTGTTTGCAGCGCTCTTTCTTCCCCTTGCTGCATTGTACTTCTTCTCAATAACACTACTACTCCTTTTATTTCTCACACCTTTACCCCTCCGGCTTGAGGGGTCTTGGACAATACCACTTGACGAAGACACAGCACCCTCCTCAGTGTTCACATCCCCAATCTCAGCTTCAATGTTTTTCCTTGCATTCTCAACGGCTTCATCACATAATTGTCTAGCAACACTGTTATCTTGGCTAGAAACAATAAGCCTTTGAAATTTCCTACTAATCTCAACAGCCCAAATTGAAGAAGGGACACCACCATTATAAAACACAGATGCAATGTCCACGTTTGTACGCTCAACAGCCTTTTTAGTCCATCTTTTTAGAATGTATTTATCGGGAATACTGGAAACACAGTGCACATGAAGTATACGTAAGCAGTGGCAGCAAAGTATTCCCAATTCTGAAAACAGCTTGCAACTACAACATATATCCAAATTGATTGCCTTAAAGGTTACTTCATGCCTTATGATATCTATGTCTGGTCGCCACACGTGATACTTGCACTTACAACCATCGTTCAACACCATTTCTTGATAACAAGAGCTACCTTTCATAAATTGTTCCTCGAACAAAAAATATATCTCAATTGTATAAACCTCTCTAGCATGTGAAAGGAGTTTCACATGATCCAACATCATGGCGGGTACTCCTTGAGAACACCGAAAATCCTCGCCATTTTCCTTACTTCTCCATTCAGATATAACACTCACAAATGATGAATAAAAATCACATAAACCAGCAGTCTTGGACAGCCTCCTAGAAATTGCATGATTTGTGCTTTCACTCCTTTGCGAAGATAAAATACCCCCGGAGAAATAATCCTTGTTGAACGCTGGACACCACTTCTCCCTACAGTCATAAAGCTTCTCTAGCCATGTATTCTTATGACAATTATATTTTGTAACCATCCTGAAAAGGTTAAAACACATGTTTATTACACATATTCTGAAAATTCATAATCTCATATTACAAAGTTCATAATCATGTAACAGAAAATACATAATGACATAACAGAAAATACATAATTGAATACTGTGAATTCATAATCTCATATTACAAAGTTCATAAATCATATAACAGAAAATACATAATGACATAACAGAAAATACATAATGACATAACAGGAAATCCAGAATTGTATAACTGTGAATTCATAATCTCATATTAGAAAATTCATAAATCATATAACAGAAAATACATAATGACATAACAGAAAATCCATAATGACATGACAGAAAATTCAGAATTATATAATGTAAATTCATAATAACATACCTTGTCCAGTAAACCTCAAATTCAGCTTCAGTCTCGGTGTATTTCAACACACAATTAAACATATCCAGAAAATCCTTATGATTCCTCAATGCCTTAATATGCTTCTTCGAATTCTCACCAATATGCCATATGCAAAGACGGTGGCGTGATGTAGGAAACACCATGGAAATGCCAGCAGCCATAGCTGAACATTGATCCGTCATGATAGTCTGTGGACACTTGCCATCCATGGATCTTAAAACGCTCTAAACAACCACGCAAATGACTCTATCCTCTCATTCATCAAAAAACCACAACCAAACATTACATTCATGCAATGATGGTTCATCCCTACAAAAGGACCACAAATCATATCATATTTGTTAGTGCGGTATGTTGTATCATGCACTAACAGATCACCAAACACCTCATAATCCCTTCTCATTTGACCATCCCTCCAAAAAAAACTACACAATCTTCCATCCAAATCAACTTCGAAATCAAAAAAGAAATCAGCCTCATTAGATTGCCTCCTCCTGAATATCTCAACCAAAGAATTTGAATCCGATCCATCCAAACACTTCAAACTCACAGAAGCCATTGAATTGTAAGCATCGCGGTTGGTAAAGCCAACCAATGGAGAGCCCCCTGACTGATGTTTCAAAAACCTCATACCATCCGCCAATGCAACACCACTACTCTTCATGTCTTTTAAATATTCAAGCTGATTGTTTCCCACTCTTCTATGCGACCGAAGCAGATGACTCTTGCCAAATGAACATAACTCGTGATTGTGCTCTTTCAAGTGTTTTGTAACTGTCCACATCCCATCACCCCCCACATCAAACTGAACAAATGCACCACATCCAGTCCTCATATCAATCTTTGAATAAAGCTTAACACCACTGTTTGGTTTCTGCTTATACCCAGCCTTAGCACAGAAGAACCTCTTCATCTGAATTGACTTAGTAGATGCCTTATAACGTTGTTGGCCTTTCCTCACACTAAAACCAACTCTGTATGCATATCCATTATATAACTCAAAAAGCTTCGTCAACATTTCTTACTACAACACCCACCAAGTCTTCATCAACTGCAATTGCAACAAAAATATAACCACACCTATACCAACTACTAAACTATGAATGTGGATTTCACCTATAATGAATGTAATATGCTACACTATAGAATTCATAAATCTCATGTGAGAACATTCATAATCACAAAGAATAAAATTCATAACATCATATAAGAAAGTTCATAACAAAAACCGGATATCAATAACATTTGTGACATTATGAGCATTCAAAGTTGGCATAGATACTCATGGCATTAAATGCATAACCTCATAACATAAAATTCATAACCTCATATGGAAAATTCATAATAACATAACGGAAAATTCATAACCTCAAACTGTAAATTCATAACGTGAACAGATTATTAATACCAATCACAACATTCAATTTGCATATAATCACCATGAATCAGTACCTACACCTACAAGAAACAACATTCATGATACACCAACTAATAAAAAGAACCTGGACTTGAAGACGAGCCATCAATGTCAATGTTTAACTCTGCTTGATCATTGCTTATTGAATCACCAACACAATCTTCATTCACTGAGTATATGCAAGCAGTGTAAACACACCAGTTAATATGTTATGGACATATTACTATTACATTATGAATATTCATATCACATGCATGAACAGAGTATCAAAATTCATAACTCTGTAACAGAAAATACATAATTGCATTTTGTAAAATTCATAACAGAAACATGGAACTAATACACATTTACGGCCATTATGAACATTCAAACTGCATAGATACTGAACAAATATCAATAAAAATAACTAAATCTTCAACAATCCATGATCTCATAAATCAAACGAAATCAAACGCATAAAATCAAACGCAACCTGGAATCGCAGAAATCATATCGGTTGAATCTTCTCCTCGAACCATCGTCTCCTCCATCACGAATAGGAAAGAATCGCGAATGTCGGATCACAATTGCCTTCAGCGATTTGCGAATAGGAAATAATCAAACGCAAAGAGTTGTCTGATCATAACTGCCTTCCTAACGCCGTTAATAGAACAGTGTTTTTTTTTTTTTTTTTAAACGACGCCAAAAACGACGTCGTTTGGAAGCGTGTTCACCAAGCATGGTGAGCACGTTTCCACGGCATAATTTGCGTGAAGAAACAAATAGGAGTTGTTATGGCAATTTTTATTGTGAATCCGGTGGTAAATTATGGTCCACACAATATTATGTGGACCATAATAAAAGTACATTTTTAATATATTAAATGTACATTATTTTTTTGTATTTTTATTATTAAAAGTGTGTGAATATATATATATATATATATATATATATATATATATATATATAATATATATATATATATATATATATATATATATATATATATATATGGAGTGTTTGGTAAATAGTTGTTAACTGATTTGGTTAGTTGATAGCTTTAATTGATTCTAGAAATACGTGTGGTAAATTAGTTATTAGTTGATAATTGATTACATACAAAATTATTTTTTCAAAAAGCTAATTGAAAAAACTGTTTTGAGTAACTTTTTGAATTTTAGTGTTTTAGAGTAATAAGTTGTTACAAAAAACTAATTAATCAAATACTCATATTGGTTTTTAACCAAGTCAAACAGTTAATAGTGGTCAAACAAGTCAAAATTTGACTGATAGGCTAACTATTCTACCAAACAAAGTCATTGTGTTTCTAAGTCAAAACTGATAACACCTATATAAAGGAATTTGTGAATACAATAAAGGGTCATCCAATCTAATATGTTAATATTATGTAACTACAATATTTCAAAG